ATTAATTAATTAATCAATTTACTTTTAATTTTGATTTCAATTGGTTTTAAAAGGAAGTTAAAGGCGGCCCTACCGAATCCTTTCAATAAATATTCCCCCCTAATAACAAATAATTTCTGACCACCCGGATTATTCATTATTGGGGGGGGGGGACGTCGTTTATTATTAGGGGGAAGAGATTATTGTGGAAGGCCTATGTCATACCCCCAGATTCGTCCAGTAGACGGAAAATCAAGGCTACACAATGATTCATTCTGAGCGTTTAGGAGCTTTCAAAACAAGCGATGGTACTGATTGCTGACAACGTACCTACCGTTATTGTCCCTACAGTTTTCGTAGTTCGCATACCGGCTATTTGGGCTTCTGACTACGCTGCCCGCGGCACGCGTAGTCCCCATCATAGCCACTGTAGCGCCCCTTCGTCCAACCCGGGCATTCAATTCAATAGAGACCTATAGTCCGCCTCAAGATAGAATATGGGTTTAGGGTTTAGGGTGTAGCCCTCCTTAAGTAGATGGAGTATGGGTATACGGGGATCTTATTGTAATATAACCAAAGCCATATTCTATCTACTTAAGGGGGGCTATCCTGAACTACTAGCTGGGAAGGTGATTTTTAGCATGCCCACGTGGCCCTGACCTGCCAGGTTTCATGTTCGGGTGACTTCATGTCTAGACTTGCATGCAGCTCTAAGGCAATTGTGGGAAGCTCTTTGCGGCCTCATACCCTGAACATCCCTGCATATCCTTGTTTAACTCAGCATACCTCCTATGTAAACATTTATGGGCCTACAACCTGCACACATGAAGAGGGTAAGATGGCCACTTGGCTGACCGCAGCAGTTTCCGAACTGTTTCCATGTGCGTTTATGTAGAGATGTGTGCACATGCATGTATACGACTAATAATAGCAATAATAGCAGAATAATAATAGTTGTATTATAGTATGTTATAGTATACTATCGTATTTTATAGTATATTATAGTATAGTCGATAAGAGATGAAAAGGGGATGCAGGGTGCCGCAGAGCTCCCTCAAGGGCCATGAGCTTGCCAGCATGCCAGGTGTACAGAGAAACTTTGGGGCACCCGCGGAGAAAACAAGAACTTACAAGGTCCTTGTGGCGGTCATATTGGGATAATGGAAAAGAAAATGGAAACTATAGGGATTATAGGGGTTATGTAGGGATTATAGCGTTATTGTATGGCTGTATTGCGATAATGGAAAATAAGATGGAGACTACTATTTACAGTTTTGGGTTTGGAGTTCAGGATGTAGATTTGAAGCTTAGGTTTAGGGCTGCTTCCAGGGGGGGAGTACCAGGCAGGTCTAGGGAGAAGCGTGGATTTCTGGTTCACCTATCCTCCTCAAAACACCCCCGCCTCGTAACAACCTGCACCAGGTCGGCGTACGCAGAGACGGAGGGGCTGGAAGTGCACGTTCCTGACTTGCTTACACGAGGTAAGTAGAGAACGAAGGCATGAATGTTGGTGGATGGTGGATTATGCATGGGGACCACTATAGGGCCCCATTCCTCCATTTCCTTTACCTAGACCCCCAAAGTATGTAGAATAATGGCCTTTTGGGCTATATTTGGGTTTTGGGCTATAATTTTACCTACTTTGGGGGTTTAGGTAATCATCAAGAATCTTCTCCGGAGCCATCGTTTCCCGGCTCTTATTTCCAGTAGCAAAGCAGCCAAGCTGTAGCAAAAAATCAACCCTAAGGGTCCAAGTACTCAAAAATCTGCTTATCCAAAGCATGTATTAAACTTACTAGTTACTATAGCCTAGACCCTGAACCCTACTTACACCAAGTATCTAATTATTGGGTCCTTGCGGACCCTCTGGGCAAGATGGGCTCGGACCCGGTGGTGGTGCAAGGGATGTGCTGGTCCCAATGCAGAACACACACGCAGGTGCGGTTCCAGGTTTAGGTTTTAGGGTTCAGGGTTTCTACCAGGACCCCCCTCCTGCCCTTAAATACCCTTGAATAGGGGTATATGGTCCCTAGTAGTGAATATTTCTTTTTTTTGTGGGTCGATGGGAGGTCTAGTATACAATCCTCAACAAGGGTCCCCATAGTCTTCATGTAGTCCCATATATGCCTATGGTTCCCCAAAGGCGCTCTATGCTGAGAAGCTTGTAGGTGTTGGTGATCTATACCTTTGCACGCATTGTGGCCAACGTCTCCGTGGTTCTGTCAACATCAGACTGGGAGTGCCAGCATCTCGCAGATGCCTGCTTCTCTGGGCAATGTTGAAGAATGGTAAGAAGGACTCAAATATAGACCCCCACATGCTATGAGGGTACCCTTAACTTTGGAAACCCTAAGCCCCAAACCCTATATCTCTATACAACCCCTATATCCCCCTTTAAAGGGTAGCCCTGATTGTCGGACCCCCGCTCCCAAATGTTCTTCACGTTTTTTTTCTCGTACTAAAGCTCAATCAGGAATGCAGGTTTACATGTTTAATTGCTATCGCAAGAATTAACCAAGCTATGGGTTTAGGGTTCAGGATGTTCAGGGTTAAGCCCCCAAAACCTCACCCCTCAAACCTGAAACCCTACTTGGAGTTTCGGAGTTTCAGGGAAACTTGGTGAGTAATCCCTATATCCTAGCATCCTCCTTCTTAACCTACCTACCAAGTCCCCCTGACCTTCCATGTAGGCTTGAAACCTTCAAACCCGAAACTCTCAAACCCGAAACTCTCAACCCCTATAAACCCTAAACTCTCAAACCCTAAACTCTCAAACCCTAAGCCCTTTAAACCCTAAACTCTCAAACCCTAAACCCTAAACCATCCTAAACCCTAGACTCTCAAACCCGGAGCCCTAGGCTTGAGGGCAACAATTACGGGCATGGCAGCCCAGCTCTTCCTGCGGAACGATAGCCGTTTCTCGCCGGACTCACGCTTGCAGGTGTGGCTTTTAGGGTTGAGGATTTAGGTTTTGTTATGGTTTAGGATTTAGGTTTTTTAGGGTTTAGGGTTTAGGGTGTTGGCTATTACCCTGCCCAGACACCCGAAAGGATCTAAACGTTAGAGCCCCTCGAAGATTCTGGGCAATTAAATCGGGATTGTATAAGGATTATTCTGGCTTTATATGGGGTATCCATAGTTTAGATCTTCCCACGACCCTCCTTGTTCCCGACAACGAGGCGAATATGGTCCCTGATAAGGGCTATTTAGGGCATAATAGCAGGTACATGGAAGGTCTAGGTATTTACGTCAATGGGTTATTCGGATACCTAGGTGAGACCCTGAACGTCATGTACATTACCCTTATTAGGCTTCTCATGGGGAATTATGGACCACAAAGCCCTCAATCTTCCCTTGCTTTAGGGTTCTAACCCAAAAATAGCCAAAACCCTCCCTCACTACAGGGTTCTAACCCAGAATGACTAAGCCTTAGTAAGCACCTAATCTACCCTTAGAGGGTAGATTGAAAGGCTTATAAAGTTAGATGGTTCGTCCTGGTGGTTGCAGGTGTGGGCCCGTCGAACAACCTTCTTTCACGCTGCTGCAATATTCGCGGATGTGGGCCCTCTCTTGCTCATGTCTGTGCACAGTACTGAAGCCGATGACCCCATAGCCAATACCAGGACATACTGGGTGATGATAGCTGCCCTCACCTATGTATACCTGGGCAATCTCTTGCAAATATTGGTGACGAACCTGAAGCTGCGAGCATTGAGTTGGCGCTGCGCGCCCATGTGCTGCAGTCTCCTGCTGGGCTTTACCGCAGTTGGACTTCCTGTGATGGTTCTGGAGGGCGCTGGTGTCAGATTCAGAGGTCCATTCTCGTTCTTGTACTATTTGCTCTTCGCCACCTTGTGCCTGCCATGTGTATGGCTCATTCAATTCTGCTGTTTGTTCTTCGAGGCGAACAAGTCATTGCTCAGGTATTTCTCTGGCGAAGCTGACGCATGGATCACGGTGCGCTTGTTCATCACTGCTTTCTTAGTCCTACTTGGATCTGCCTTGTCGGGGATTGCTGGTTTCTTGCTAAACGGAACCAAACTGCTCCAGCAGCCCTTGTGGCTAACAGCAGATACCACCTTCCAACTGCTTTGCACGCTGCTTCTTAGTGGAATGCTGGGCCCACGGTCTTGGGCCAACAGCTTGGAAGACTTTCAGAGACGTGCGTTGGAAGCAGGTTTTGGGTTGGCCCAGACGCGAATAGCCTTCCCGGGCAAAATCTGCGAGGAAAACACGCGATGTGTCGTCTCATTTCCTGGCAAATACAGCGGCCAGTGGGACCAGCTGGTGTCATCCGCCTCTACAGAGGGGGCTGTGTGTTCGGTGGCCTGTGTCTTTCTGACGGATTCCACAACTGGCTTGGGGCAGCATTCTTCTAATCCAGAGATGCCAGGTCACTGTTGGTGTCGCGCTATCTATGGCCAAGTCCCCCCCGAAGCGTATCTTGCGACAGTGGATGAGACTAGGGACACAGAGAGGGAGCGAGCTTTCAAGCGGGCCGATGCCAAAGCCATGAATCAGCATTTACTGGTCTACAAGGGACAGCCTCAGGCAGACTGGGAGCATGACCTGACACGCGCCATGCGCAAGGCCACTGAATCTTGCCAACAGAATCATGGGCGAGCCCCATGGGGTTGCCGATGGTTTGAGGACTGGAAGAAGACTCTAGGCTATCACAAGATGAATTTTCTGTCTTCGGAGCTTTGCAAGAAGCAAACCGGGCCCTGTTGTTCCCCATGTCCTAAAGCTGCAAAAGCCTTAATTGCTCAACCCTTAAGTGCTAAACCCGCCAGCCCTACGTGCTGAGCTAGGAATGTGACTCGGGCAGCAGAGCTGGACCAAGAACTACACGTCTTTTACTTCGAGGGTAGATGTGGGAATTGATCAAAATTCGGGATCCCGTTAGGTTATAGGGAGTATATAGGGGTACGTAGGGTTTACTGTTTAGGGCTTCTGGGAGCTGATCAAAAATTCCGTTAGCAGGATGGAATATGAGGCTTCAAGAGCCCCTGAATCTACCTAATAGCACATACTGGCATAATGCTCAACTCTCCCTATGATCCCCGTATGAAAGTTTTTAATCCGTATAAGGACTCTCCAAATGCGACCTCCGTCTTGGACACTGCCATATTTCCCCACCCTAAACCCGAAGCCCTGTGCCCAAAACCCATATTTCCTTCAAGGGTGCCGATTGCAAGAAAACCCCAGGTGGCAAGGGCAAGCTGGCTTGGACTGAGCTTGCAGATGCTTCTGCTCGGGATAGAGCCCGGCAAGAAAGTGGCCTGGGCGCCTCGCAGACAGCCGAGGTGGCCTACCTAGAGACGCCGCCTTCATTGGGAGTTGTTTATCTACATGCGGGTTTCCCAACGTTAGTGGTGCCATTATGGAGGTCCCTATAATCGGCATTGTAATATTTTGGGGTCTATATGGGGGTCCCCCTATTTTAGGAAACTACCATATGCCTCCCATGCATTTTGGTGTTCTGTTCTCGTCTTTACAGCTTTGAAAGCCAACACCTATGCACGCACTACCTCGCGGCCCATCAAGGACAAGCTGGGATTGCAATATGTAGAGCATGACGTTGGCGAGTTTGAGGTCTTCATGTCTCCTGGCATATCGATTGACGCATAGCTATCTGGCCAGGGCGCCACACATCAAGCGCGGGCTGCATTCCTACCCATCTTCCCCTCACCTGGCATACTCAACTGGAGATGATGCAGCAGGAGGCTGGCCCTTCAATCCGCATTACATGGGGTTTCCCCCCTGGACCACCCCACCCTCCCCAGGTTCCACCTAATGGGGGGCTGGCAACGGAACCTATAGTTCATGGTGCACGCCGGGGATCCTGACTTGGAAATTCCAACTTCCTCAACAGAAAGCTCAACCTCAATTCGAGCCCTGAATACCTGAGAGGGTTTGAGGGTTAAGAGGTTTAGGGTTTAGGGAAGCAGACTAGTGGAATTGTATGTTGGCACCCAAACAATCCCCGAACATTTGGCCGCTCAAAGACCTCGAGACCCTTCATCATCCCAAAACTTGTCAGAAACTTGGGGTTTAGGATTTAAGGTTTACGGTGGGTTTGCGGCGTACCGGTCACCCAAGCTACATACAGTTCTGTTCTATGAGTTATACCTATTAGCTTCGGGGCAATGACTTTTAAGCTGCAGGTAACTGGGGTGACAGGCCGCGTTCATAGAGTTTGAGGTTTGAAGTACTCTGAGACGTATGGTCCTGTCATGCGGATCAAAAGTCAGGCCCGTACTCAAAAGGAGAGCCAGAAAGAAAGTGAATCATGAATTCGACACCGTGCTGCATGATAGCAATCGCCTCCCCTTAGAAATAACCCATTGACCCCGCGATAACAACAAGTTCTCCTGAATATGTATATATATATATATGTATAACCCCTATCATACCACTATAAATCCCCTGAATAATCCTGTTTAAGGAGTTTAGACTACAGCTCATATGATGGCATCACATGGGAGAGGCTCATGTTGCAGGGGAGGGGACTATTCTTTAGGGGCTAGGATGGAGGTTTGGATCTGGGGGGATTGTCAAAATTATGGTCACTTTTTGGTTCCCTATTATAATACGGGGCCTAATACGGAGCCTAATTTAGGGGCCCCCAATAAGGGACCATAATTTTGACAATCCATCTACACTCTTGCGCCCTGTTAACCCTGCACAGGTTTTTTGCCTCTCGGAATAAGGTCTCTGTTTGCTGCAGAGTGACATGGGGATCCTTGTTATGGTATAGGAGCTATACGGAGTGATATAGTCATGTACAGGAACAGCGGACCAGATTAAGCTAATCCCCGCCTAATCCCCCAATCCTAAAAGAACTTGCAGGCGGAACTGCCCCATCATGACCCAGTTGCCACATTGGGGAAACTAGGGGGGTCATTGAGAGGCTCAAATTTCTGAATCCTTTACTGTAAAGGTTAGGGTCAGGCATTCTGCATGGCTTTCTCTTGTCCTTGCGGCTGTTGGCAAACTATAAGCACGGCAAAGATTATGCTCCAAAATGAAAGGGCAACCCCTCCAAAAAACGCAAGACTCTAGATCGAAACTCCGACAACCTTGAAACCTAGACCCCTTAATCCCCCGTTCAATCCGGCCCCAACTTAACTTATAAACCTTAAACCATCTGTGGAAGGCTTCCCCGAAAACTCTACGCCCACCGCTGCCGAGCAGCACATGAATGAGAACAGCATCCTGGCACCAACGCTGGCAAGGCACTTGCTGGGTTGCTGTTATGGAACTTAAAATAACTTACCATGTTAACGAAACCCCATTATGTACAACATATTCAGATTAGGGGAACTTAAGCCCTAAACTCTCGACTGTACATACCCATATTCTCTACTATATGCCCATGCTATGGTAACTTAATTTAGATTCCTTAACAGCAACCCGGCTTGGAGCCAGGTGTGGAGGGCTCAAGACAAGCCCTGACGGGGGTTTTCGAGGAATCCAGGATCCGCTCCTCGGGTGTTCCTAGAAGCATTTTGGGTTACGGTTTAGGGTATGTACCTAGAAATCCTAGACCTTCCATCTACCTTCTACTATAACCTATATATCCACGGTTATTTACTATTAGGGAGCAATAGGAACTCCATGGGCTATAGTCTGCACTCCTAGTATCCCCCTTTATAATCTCTATGGTAATACTCCCCGATTAAATCCCCCATATAACCCCCGCCCCCCCTTAAGGAGTTTAGACTATAGCTCATATGGCCTTATTTAAGGGTACAGGGAGTAGGATTGTGGCAGGGAAGACCTGACAGCCTGTGAGCCTCGAAGCCCTTGAGCTATTTATATAGAGCCCGCCCAAAACCCTGAACCCTAAAGCCTAAACCTGAAACCTGATGCCTTACTCTCTAAACCTAAGCCTGAAACCTTATGCCTTACTCTCTAAACCCTTAAATCCCTAAACCCAGAACCCCAGAGCTCAGGTCGACGCACATGTGCGTTTCTCTGACTGAGGGGCCTTCCACCAATTCAAAGGGTCCATGTAGCTATATAACAGATAGGGTTTAGGATTCAGGGTTTAGGGTTTGGGGCCCAGGGTAGGTAAAAAGTATATACTGGGGCGTAAAGTAATTAATCATATCGGAGCCTTTCTGGCCGCTGACCCTATAAACCGCAAACGTAAACTGCGTAGAAGTACGTACTATATGGCTACATGGACCCTTACGGGCTCAAGCTCTGATCGAAGCTTGTTTCGGGATGGCCTGAAAGCAAGTAGCAGAATCCGAACTACCATGCCTCTTGCTTGCAAATGCAGCAGCAAGTGAGACAAGTTTGTGACTGGTGCCAGCTGCCTCTAAAGAAGCTGCGTTGTCGCCGGTGGCCTTTCTTCAAATTCCGAGACTGTCTTGGGGCAGCATTACATCCCAGGATAGGCTGCTATAATTGAAGTTCACTGTTACCCTAAGGTTAGGGTTTAGGGTTTGAAATAATCATCATGAGCTCTGTGTGGGTTGAAGGTTTGGACTTCGGGCCCTCAAGTTCGTGATCTTGCTACGAAGGTTGCAGAGCTTTAGGGTTGTATCCAAACAAGGGTCCACTATGGGGCGTATAAGGTTTAGGGATTAGGAATTTAGTTGGTTCAGGGTTTCGGGATTTGGGATTTCAGGGTTTAGGGTTTAAGATTAGAGATTTACTTGGTTCAGTGTTTAGGCTTTAGGGTGTACATGGCTCCGGGAAATGTCCTAGTACCCTCACGGTTTGCACTTCTGGGTTCGGATCACGAATAGACTAAACCGTGGAATAAAGGCAGTAAACAGGATATCTGGGACTCCAATGGTTGCAACCTTAAGGGTACAAAAATAAGGTCTCGGAATAGCTTAGGTAAACCCTTTATAGTCTTTAGTAGAACATTCACTCCACCGCTAATTCTAAAAAGACAGACTTATAGTAGGTGTTTTTCTAAGCGTGTAACATAGCATGAGGAGATACAGGCACTTTCAATTCCAAGGCATCCAAGTAGCCCAAAGTGGGTACCATGCATAGGCTTAAGGGCCCACAGCCAGTGGCATTTATAGACTTAGATGCCCAGGCATAGGTGCCAAAAATGAAAGCCCTGAAAGCAGGAAGTCCGTCTCCTGTTTTAGGGTTCAGGGGGTTCAGGGTATAAGGTGATCCTCAAGGGGGCCCCGAATGGGACAAGACTCTCTGACCCTCTGAGAAATTGAGTCCCTTATAAACCGATAAACCCTAAACCGTCTCAGGGGGTTCTTATATCTGACGAGTACCCAAGGAATCTGCCCCGCCGTGGAAGCCATGCATGACAATCAATTCGCGGAAACGCCATGCTAAGGCCTGAGCCCAAAGTGACCTTGAATCCTATATGAGCTATAGTCTAAACTCCTTTAAAGGTGGATTATATAGGGGACTATATAGTGGTTATGAAGGGGGATAGTAGGAGTTTAGACTATAGTTCATGCACATGTTAATCTCTAAGCCTCAGAGCCGCATCCCTACATGATGCCTAAGTGCTGTAAGCATTTAACCCTACATATCAAATCCTAAACCTGGGACACTGCGATGGTCTCGAGCTAGAAAGTTTCCAAGACTAGGTTCCCATCCAGCTTCGTGAAGCGAATGCGCAGAGGGACCATACGTTTCACGTACCCGTTTTTTTTTAATGTTCCGGCAAAGCTGAAACAAGTGATACTTCTGCGTCTTTGAGAATGTTGGAGACAAAAGGGCTTGAGCTATGCTGATGGTTTCTTAGAAGTTTTGATGGATGTGTTGAGGGTGGGGGTCGTCAATGCACCCTCCATAGCAGCTCCTGACAATGGTTGGGTCACCAGGGGGCCATTAAGAGCGGAGACAGGGGGTCCCACTGGTAGTTTGTTATAGTTATAGTCCCTAAGGAATATTCCCTAGGAAAGGGCTCCATATTTGAAATATAGGCTGTCACCCCACGTTCATCACGTATGTGGGAAATAGTATAGCTCGTGTGTCCTAAGCTCAAACCCACAGGGTCCCAAGTACCTGTGAATGGTACAAAGTAGGATTCTGTAGTAGCAACCTCCCTTTGGTTTTAGAGTTTAGGGTTAATATGGGTTTGGGTAAGTACCTATATGGGTAAACAGGGCTCTGTGGGAAAGCCCTGACAGTTTGATATCATGGGCCAGAAACCATAAAAGGAGCCCAAAAGGCCCTTTTGCCTACATACTTTTGGGCTTCAGGTATGGTAGTTTCCCAAGAAGAAGTGGACTCCAATATGGACCTTAAAATGTTATAATCCTCATTATGGGGACCCCCCAAGAGGTGCCCCTAGCTCTGGGAAACTGATGTACACAGATATCTAAGGTTAGAAGTATGGGCTCCTAATATGGGGGCTTAGGCCTTTTGGGGGGATTCTAGGGACCCTTAAGGGTACCTATAAGGTATACCTACTAGGCCCATACTAGGGGCCCATGGTTCCAACCTTAGAAGATACTGTTGAGTTGATGGAGGAAATCTTGCACCACCTTAGGTCCCTAAAGTCCTAGCAATTACAGTAATTTCGGGGATCTAAGTGGTGCAAGATTTCCTCCAAAAACAGTCACCTCCTCAAATCAAAGGCGGCTTAAGTCGTGTTCGGGTGACCCAGCATGAGCTCATGTTCCCTTAGGAGGAGTCGGGGGTGAGGAACCCTAAGCTGAAGCTTAAAGCCCTAAGGTGGAAACTACCATAGGGTTTATAGGGTGCAGAGCGTACAGGGTTTAGG